AGAACAGTCCTGTTACAATAGGAGTTACAGTCCCAGTACAGGGGAACAGTCCAGTTACAATAGGAGCTACAGTCCAGTACAGGAGAACAGTCCCATTAAAATAGCAGCTACAGTCCTGTTACAGTAGGAGCTACAGTCCCAGTACAGGAGAACAGTCCCGTTACAGTAGGAGCTACAGTCCCAGTACAGAAGAACAGTTCTGTTACAATCGGAGCTACAGTCCAAGTACAGCAGGACAGTCCCATTATAATAGGGGCTACAGTTCAGTACAGGAGAACAGTCCTGTTACAATAGGAGCTACAGTCCCAATACAGGAGAACAGTCCTGTTACAATAGGAGCTACAGTCCAGTACAGGAGAACAGTCCTGTTACAATAGGAGCTACAGTCCAGTACAGGAGAACAGTCTGTTACAATAGGAGCTACAGTCCAGTACAGGAGAACAGTCTGTTACAATAGGAGCTACAGTCCAGTACAGTAGACCAGTCCTGTAACAATAGCAGCTACAGTCCAGTACAGGAGAACAGTCCCAAAACAATAGGAGCTACAGTCCCAGTGCAAAAGAACAGTCCAGTTACAATAGGAGCTACAGTCCAGTACAGGAGAACAGTCCTGTTACAATAGGAGCTAAAGTCCAGTACAGGAGAACAGTCCTGCTCCAGTAGGAGTTACAGTGACTGCCTTAGTCATTCTGATGTTTGTGTCGCCACTCTGTGGCAACAGAAAGTTCCTGTTGTTCTTAGTAAACTGGAAATGAATGTTGAGGCAGGTTTCCCTGAAAACCCACACCTCCAAGAGTATTTTGCTGTCCGGACAGCTTGATAAACAGGCGAAGCCTGAAGAAATTAAGAACACGACTCAGCCTGACTAAAGTTTCTAAAAGTTTTTTTTTTTTTAAGAATGACTAAGCTTAAATTTGTTTAAAAAAAATACCTCTGAAATAAGAACCAGGGGTTTTACGGGTTTCGGAAGCCAAAGGTTTCTCAAACTTTTCAGCCCCTCGGTCCAATTACGGAAATCTAACAACCGGAGGGCCCACCGCCGGGCCGTGACGTTGCCCCGAGCTGGAGCCGCCTCACCTGCCCGGCGACACACGGGGCTCTCGCGCGTGCGCCTGGCTCGCGCCTGAGGAGAGGGCGCGCAGAGCGACGCCTCAGCGAACCCGTTAATATTTTCAAATCGCGTTTTATTCCGTTTATTTTATTTATATATATACACACACACACACACAGTTTTCTCCTCAGGCAACCTTTCGAAAACGCTGCAGGAAACACCGAGTCGTGACGGGAGCCACCTGGTGTGGTGTGGAGAAGCTCAGACGGAGACACATCTCCAGAGCCCGATATTATTCTACCCGGCCTACTGGCGATGATGAGGTGTGCTAAACTCATCCAGCAGTCACTGAAGAAGGGGGAGAAATTACTCAAGAAATCGGTTTTTCTGTTCCAGGTAGTTCCGGAAACATAGTGTATCCCAGTCCCAGATGTTGTCTTTAATCGTAGTATTTCCTTACGCTGGTATCTGTCCTCCATCCAAGACCCGTTTAGGATTTTGCCATCAGCCCTCTGTAAACGGTGAGCGGTAGTTGTTACCTGATGTCCGGTCACTCTCTCCGAGCAAGCGTTTGAGACGCTCATCCTCAGGGGTCTGTCCACAGCCTCACCACCCTCGCTAGCTGCGAACACACAGGCTGCAGGAGGTGGATTTCAAAGCTTCTCTGTGAAATTTAATAACTCACCGCAACACAGGGCTTAAGTTAAAAAAATAACTTTTTATCAACAATATTTCTCAATTCAGTTTCATCCAAAAAAAGCTTCAAATGTTCTCCCCCACCTGTTTGAATCAAGTCACAGAGACCTGTGTACATTTTTAAAGAGTACAAGATTTAAACGATGCAAAACCCCACACCACTCCCCACGAAGTGCAAAATAAAACAAATGGTACATCATTTTAAAGAGGAAAACATTAACAAGGCTTCGTCAGTTTCCGGAGAAGGTGAAGAACTGTGGTTCACCACTCCCTCCTGGGGGGCGCGGCAGAGGTCTGGGGCTGATCCCCCAGCAGTACCTGGGTAGCGTCGCCCTACAAGACAGACACTGTGGGTTTCGAACACGGAGGAGGAGAACTTTTCAACTACAACAGCCAGCATCAAAAGTTGTCTGCCACATAAAAAGTAGGTATATTTCACACAAAGGTTACAAAATACAATATCACAACGTGACTCGTTGCTGAAGTTAAAAAAATAAAAACATTTAAGCACAAGATGTCATCATCCAGTGTCATCCAACAAAGCCTTACAAGTTCGCCGCCACTCCATGTACACACCCTTTAACTTGTTAAAAAAGTTACAACTATACAATAGACTACACCCACCCATCCACCCCCCAACACTTAAAGTCATAAAAATGGGTGTGTACTTAAAAAAAGGAAAAGACGTGAAAAGTGCAGAATTCACTTCCTGAAGGAGGCCGGGATCTGCAGCTCCTCTCCTCCCCACTGGGGGAGCGTGGCAGAGGCCTGGGGCTGGAGAGGAGCAGTGCTGCACTCGTAGCCGATGACTTTGCCGCTGTATCTAATGGGACCGTTCAGGCTGCCATACTTGAAGCGCCCAGCAGAAGGCAGCGCCCAGCTCTCCAGAGACCCAGCGGCCACATTCACACGGGAGGGATAACAGGGCTGAGAGGGGTAGTAGGGTGGTGGATTCTTTTTGAAATACCCCTGGTTCCCAAACTGGCTTGTGGAGTAAAAGCCCCGAAACTGAAAAAGATAAAGAACTGTTAATACAGACACACTGACTGGACACTCCAGTACATTAACACTGCACTGAGAGAGAGGGGTTCATACAGACACACTGACTGGACACTCCAGTACAT